TGTCCTTTAGTATTTCCTTCGATCTGATGTCATCCGTTGCTTTTAAAGTATACAGGACTAACTAATTCATGTTTAGACGTCAAAAATTATTTACTGTCGTATCCTTATCTGTTTTTTTTTTCTCTTTTCTCTATAACCTTCTTTGCTAATTAACTAGTCTGCCATGAGTTTTTCGATTTTAGAATTGTTGAATTGTTTTCTGACAAAACAAATATCAACTCTCTACTGCCATAAAAAACTTCCTGTTCCCGCTAATGAGTGATCTCCTCACTGCAAAAGCTATGGATAATGTTATCAAGCAATACGCTAATTGCTAGAGTCATGTGAGTTCTCATCCCTTATTGGCTGCATCCGTGTCTACCAATCAAGATAGAAAAAGAATTTCGGAAAATCTCTTTTTAAAAAATTTTTTTGTTTCATGCTATATCTTTTCGCAGAAGAAATTTGCAAACGTCACCTTGCACTCAAGCGTAATGGTTGCCAAATGGGTGCGTAGATTGTCGAAATAACTTTGCAAGTCATGTGTAAAGAGCATTACTAAATAAAATACTCTCCATAAGGTCTCGTTTTCGAAGCCATTAGACCGTAATTTTATGCTTTGTTCGATTTATTATTTACAAAACTTTCTCTACTATATTTGTCATTGAAGTAGCATTTGCTTCTACAGAGCGTTTTGATAGAGCTACCATGCGGAACAATTTGCTATATCTAACCCCTATCCTACTTCCGCAATCCTCAATTATCATACTTCAAAAGTCGAAAGAAGGGCTATGTCTCGATTTCGTAGTGTGGATTTGAATGGAAGCCCTCTTCAACATAAAATCTTGCTATCCATAGTTTTCTTAAGCTCATATTAATTTGCCTATATTTTTTGTTCACAATTCAATGAGTTGGCCATATCTTCCATAAGCTTTTGATCAGCTGTGACATTAGCTAAGCTGAGCCTTCTAATCCATACTTCTTTGGAAGCCATTTTCTTATTGATCCAAATATCAAAAAAACTGTTGTTTATGAAACAGCTACCCCGACGAGTTGAAGTTCTTTGTTCTTAACTCTTCGAGATTCAGAATTGTGGAGCATGATTTTTTGGTCGTACTTTCTCAATATCTCGTACATTCCTACACCTTTCGTTTTCCGTTCTTCTGTCTCTTTTTATCTTCTTGTTAAGCCTATTAGCTTATTCCAAATTACGTTTTTTTTCCTGAGCTTTCAGCGCAACTATGAGACTACATAGCAACAAGTTAATTTTTATTAAGGTGTTTTCGAAATTATCCCGTGGGATTTCAACTGCCCAAAAATGAATTAGAGACAAATTTTCAAACAACATTCTATGGCAACATTAGTCGAGCGTATTTTGAAGTTTCTCTGAGAAAACAGAATTTCTTTTTATTTAAGTTTTACGTAAGTAAATTCGACACGGAAATAAGGTAACAGTGAGCTGGATGTTTTAAATCGCAAAATTGCTAAAATTGCATTTTGGGTCTTGAACGCCCCCACGTCTGAATCATTTGCTTTCACAAGACATATGATTAGAGCTGATCCGACATTTCCTGTACTCATCCGGAAGTACTTGATGTCTCAAGCAATCAACAAAACATTTATTGCTAGTATGTCCATCATGCACATGTTTTTCTCTTGAACAACCAACTGTTGTACTCATTATTGCTCATTTATCAATTTAACTGCTCATTAAAAGACAAATTTTGTACTTTTCCATTTCTTTTTCATTTTGTCAACTGGCTGGATGGATACAGCTCTAAGTACCTCGTCACTATAGCCATATATGCAGACGGTGCTCAGCTGTGCGATATTTTCCTTTCACCAGAGATTTCCCCAAATACCCAGCAAAAAAGTTTTCATCGATTTTCATTGGAATTGCTCTTGTCTGCCTATATGAATAGTTTTATCTGCAGCTCTATGTGCAGTTTGCGTCGTAGCCAAGACAACAATTGAGTCTCAGATTTTTCTTAAATTTTTTCCCTAAAATGATTGCTTGTTTTATTGGGTTAGAACATAAGTCTTGCACCAAAATTTTCTGAGAAACCTCAATTTCCTTCAGGTCAAATGAGTTCGAAAAAATGAAATTAAAAAAAGAAAACTTAATCTTTTTAGGTATTCACAAAGCAAGAATCATCATTGCCATATCACTATAAGGACACCTGTCGAATGCAAACAAAAAAAAGTGTTTTTCCAACTTTTAGTCCCCAAGAATACTGGGAAGCTCAGGAATTTCTAAAATAAGTTTTAGTTGAGTATAATGATATACGCTTTTAACCAACAAACAGATTTGTGCTGTTAAGACATCTCTACGAAAAGATGCGATTTTGAATTTTTTCTATTGTTTGAAATGAAATCTTACTATACGATAAATTGTGCATAAATTATGAGCCACGAAGAAATACTATACAGGTTGAAACGCTGTTCCAAGCATTTTCAAATGAACTTTTTGGCTTTAGTGCAAGGTTTATGTTTCAACCTAATATTTCTATTCGTCCATTTTGTGATTACTTGATGTGAATAGTTGCTCAATGTGGTCCAATGATCAATAAGCAAAATCTCCTTCGATATTTCACCGGAACACGACTTTTAAAAAAAATTTTCAACTATTATAGTACCTTTCTCTTGTCCTCACAGTCCTGTCAAACAGCATTTTTCAAAGATTCTATTCTCTCGGTCTCCTAGTATATCTGAACTAATCAGAACCAATATGTGGCAATGAGACTGCCCTCCTACTTTTTTGGCTGCATTCAAGAAATTGTTCTCCATTGCTCTACAGCCAATTTCCGCAGTCGCATTTCCACTCATATCAAGGCCTCGTGATATGCAAGGTTGAATATAGTTTATTTTGGTGTTTTTTAGTACCAAAAATCCCCTGGCTGTTACCCACTTCTCACAATGACTTACCGTAACCTGGCGGATTACGGTAGTTCGATATCTTGAAACTATATGCTTATTTTGGCGAAGTGACAAATCCTTTTTCGGAGTTGAAAAGAAATTTGCGGATGCTCGAAAATTGGCGAAAATTTTCTATATTCTATTATCTTAACTCTGGATACAACTGAAATCAGTCTGGGAATGTTATTTTCAGTTAAATTCATAGCAGATTTTTTTGATTATCAAGTGTTGTGAATTTTTTTCGACTAAACAAAATTTCCTGTGCATGTATGTTAAAATTGTTTTCGTAATTGCTTCCCTTCTGATGGATATTTTCCTATTTTGCGGTTAGCGAAAATGCTCAACTCATACAAGCCATGCTTTTTTAGGTAGTCTATACTTCGTATGTAAAAAGATGACGATAAGCAGGAAAAATTCAAAAGTACAAATCGCTCTTCTCCTTTCATGGATCAATGCATTTAATTCATTGTAGTCGTAAAGGCAAAATGAGCTTCTTGGCCTATTTCAAGCACACAAACGCACTAAGATAAGTGCAGAATCGAGGCTTGCCTCATTTCTTATAGCTTGCTTCACTACTCGAGTCTCCAAATTATGTAATAACCGGACTAGCATAATGGATGGCCGCAGTCTGCCATATTTCTAAAGAAAAGGGCTTTTCATATTAATGATTGAAACTGAGATATACAACGCCATTTTTTCATTTAATTTATATGTGCCCCCGAGGTGCGCCACAACTCGATAAAATTATACACGATCATAAAGGAAATAATATAATATGAATGAAATAAAAATTGAAGTTTGTGTTTCCAAAGTTGCGCCTCCCAATACTGATAGTTGTTTTGCCCAAAAAATTCATAAAACTGGATTTTTGAACAAATTTATGCTGCGAAGCCACTTTAGATCTCTCCCACTCTCATGGTTCTGAAGTTGCTCAGATTTATAGTGCATGTATCTTTCTATGGAAACTCAAAACATTCTTTGTAATCCGGATGAAGTTTACGACTGAATCGTTGGGCACCAATAATCCTTTTTATGTATTTTCTCTTACTTTGTGGCTCTCAAAGCGATCTGATTTCACTCTATAAATGTTCGCGTTAAAGAGCCGAAGCGGTCGCACATTTTTAATAAATGTTTTCAAACCATTTTTGCTTAAATTTGTTTGAGGCTTTGCGCTAGTGGATGGATCGGAGTAGTACTAATTAGAAGTTATTTTTTAAATTTTAAGTTTGATTTATTGGCCCCGTGCTATATAATGTTTTTAGTGCCCAACATCATTCTAGCGAAATGCTAAACATGCGAAGCTATCAAATTTCCCTTTTTCTGAGAGACTAGATGGTTGGCATATTAATTCATATGTGGGAGTCATTACACCATATTTTTGAATTTGTGCTCTGGAGTGAGAAAAGGCCCTTGAAAAATCAATAAAACCTCTACCCCGCTTGAGGATCTCTTACTGTCTGTAGCTAATCTACGATTTTATTTATTTGTTTATTTATCTATTCATTTATTTGATACGTGCAAATCTCTACAGATAAAGCAAAAACTTCCTTCAAGTCAGAAGTCCAGTCACCAAACAGTTTTCCGTAAAGAGTAGGGGATTAAGCTTGTTTGGACCATGTATCATGTAAATTTTTCTTTTCATTTTCTAAACCTAGGTTTTCTTTAGAACAGAGCTGATGTGTAACTAAGCCTCTTCTACATTTCTGACGATTATTTGTGTGAAAATCTACTAGTGAAGCCGATTGTATATTACTCACATTCACAAACTAAGTGATAACTAAACCAATTAGTTTTGTCGCGACTGCTCGTGAGACCGCACGTTCTGCTGTCTCACTTGTAGTAAGAGACGAATCCACACTAATCAAGCCAAAACTTATGTAATCAGAAGCTTATGTTGTCAAATCCTCAATCTTCTCGTCTTTCCATTTTTCGCAATGTCTGCTCGTCGAAATAATTTGATATCGCCTTCCACACATCATACATATCTATTCTCCTATTTTGTTAATATCGTTTTGCTTGCTCAAGCTTTTCTTTCGCGTCTGAAAATGTCGTAAGAAATGCCTATTAAACTTTCCAGATTATTAGCTTTATAGTTTCAACTTTTTAGGTGATGTCTAATGAGTCTTGCGAGCATTTGCAGAATTTATTTAGTCGCATCAACCATTATTTTCGTGATGACATCGTTCTGAACGGAACGGAACATGCATCCAAAGAGGTATGAATATATTTTTGAGCATTTGGACATCTGTGAGAAAATTCAAAACCTTACAAATTCCCACTAACAATTTAAAAAATTTTACGGTAATTTTTTCAGCTGTGAGACTGTTTTTGTTTTAGCCTACTGATTTTTATTCCGTTCGTTTCTTGATGAAAAAATCCCAATTTTTCACTTTTTTCGCAGTCATCGCCTTAAATCTTGCAAATGTTTTTCAATAACATTTTGAATTATCTTCACACAAAAAGATTTGTAATTTGCTCACATATACAAGCTCAAAACTATTCACAAATTGTTTGTCGATCAAGAATGCCTGAGATTGTGAATTTGACAGATATCCTCAAATTTTTCGTAAAACTTTTTTGGAAATCAAAAATTCATTTGTAACGAGATTGCCTTACCAAACAATAATCTTAAAGCACAGAACATGTTCTTGAAATAAAGAGTGTCAACTGAAAATTTGCAAAAATTTACAGACTATACAAACTGAAAAAAAAAAACTCTTTCAGCTTGGCTACGCAATAACAGCCGCATATTTGGTTGTGATAATATTCGGAGCCTGTGGTAATTTTCTCACTATGCTGGTCGTTGTTCTGAATCCAGCCATGCGAACAACAAGGAATTTTTTCATATTTAATCTGGCTCTGTCAGACTTTTTCGTGAGTTTGTGTACAACTTACATAAAATTTGCTTAAGCACAATCTTATTACAAATGTTTGCTAGGTATGCACAGTAACAGCTCCGATGACATTATATACAGTTCTCTATATGTTTTGGCCGTTTGGTACGGCTCTGTGTAAAATTGCCGGTTCACTGCAGGGTTTCAACATATTTCTGTCTACGTTTTCTATCGCAGCTATAGCTCTTGATAGGTGAGTTCTAGGCAACTAACCACCATTATCTTTACAAGAACTCGTTGCAGATATGTATTGATAATCTTTCCTACAAAACGTGAACGACAGCAAAATTTGTCGCTGATGTTCTTCGTTTTCATTTGGGTTGTGTCATTGATATTAGCTGTGCCACTGCTGATTGTCTCCGATTTAAACACCATCTATGAAGATCCATCATGTGGTATATTTCTACGATTATGTCATGAACAGAATGACATTTGGCAATCAGTAAGTTTTCAATTTGGAGAAGTGCGTCTAGAGTTGCCGTGCCAGCGCCGAACAGGCGCCGATCAATCAATACAAGGGCTGTTGTGGCGCTGTAACTGCGCTGGCACAGCGCTGGCACGCGCGCCACTCCGAACGCTGTTACATGCTAGCCATTTGCGTGTTTAATCGCAAATTTTACAGATGATGATCTCCAAGCAAGCCTATACTCTTTCTGTTCTGGTAACTCAATATGCGTTCCCGTTATTTTCCTTGGTTTTTGCCTATACGCGAATAGCTCATCGTATGAAGTTACGATTCGCGAATCGCAATGTTGCTTGTCCAAATTCTCTGACTGAAGATCAGCGCAGGAGGTAAGAATATACAAATTTTGCGCCTTTTCGAATGAAAACAAGTCCCTTTAGATCCGTTGTCGAACGTCAGCGACGAACTCATTTACTGCTCATGTGCGTCGTAGCCGTATTTGCTATCGCATGGTTGCCTTTGAACGTCTTCCATATGGTAAAACTGAAATGATTCATAAAAACCCTACGATTTTAAGCTTGATATTAGTAAGATCCGAGCATACCCCAAGTGAAGATTTATTTAGTTTAGATGTTGCACGAAAATATGAGAGCAGAACTAATCTCCATTAAAGGGAAACAGATTCTAGTATCTGAGTTTCTTTCAAAACTCACTTATAATCGCTTGCCCTTCTAATCACAGTCAGTTTCCTAGCCCTTCCAAGGATCCATCCAGAGTCGCTCGTGTGCCGGCGACGTGTCAACGTCGTGCAGGAACCTATTGGACTCACTGCGTATAAATGGTCGAGCTCGCAGGCATGGTTCCCGCACGGCGCTAGCACGGGATTGGAACTTTGACGGCAGGCAACTCTGGGCGCAGCCTAAAAAACGTACTCCCTCTACCTAATCCTGACAATGAAAATGAATTGTTGATTAATTGTGGAAATGAACTGAGAGTTTTATTTTCAGGTAAATACATTTGAATGGGTTTCACTCTTCTCCGTCTCAACATTTGCCGTTTGTCATGTAGCTGCAATGTGTTCTGCTTGTTTGAATCCGCTTATCTATGCATTTTTCAATCACAATTTCCGGACAGAATTTATCGCTCTGTTCGAGAAAGTTGGACTACGGTAAGTTTTCTGAGAAGTGTTGCCTAATGATCAGTTTAATGATTGAAATCAGAAACACTTTCGTAAAATGGCTATATCTGCATTACTTTGAGCGTACACGAGCAGTTCTCAATATTTCCCTTAATTAGCAAAATTTCTCAGACGAAGGTTACCTCAGTCTATACAGAGTAATCTTTCAGGAAGCTATGCCGTGTCGTGCTCACATGGGAAGAAGATCGAACACGAAAGAAGGGTATCGAACGAGATTCGAAGACTATTGTGTCCAAAACTAATGGAGCAACCCCCTGTGTGCTCAGCGCTCAACAAGAACGACATTTGGAAGAGAGCCTCGCTCTAAATCCGGATACTGACGAACAGCTCTAAATGTATTGCCTGTAAATTCTATCTGCAATAATTCGCATTGCTACTCGTGTAATTTCTGGTTGCTTTTATGGATATGAGGTTGATCTGTGAATTATCGAATGATTCGTTACGGTTCCGAGCCTCTAAGGCAGCATCCAGATTGCTTGCGTGCCGACGCTGTCCCAACGCCGCGTCGACGCCGTGCCAGCTCAATGCCACCGCCAGGCACAGCGCTAGCATGAGCAACTCTGGCCGCAGACCATACGTCTACTGCTGCTTCGCAGCAATTTTCAAACTCGTTGTATATTCCGATCCGATGAATATCAGAACATTGATGAGTCACAAATAAAGATGACTCAATTTTCATTGAAATGGGTTTCGGTCACACGTTGTCATATTAGGTATCTAGTAGGATACGGTAATAATTAGTCAATTACGTTGTTGACATGCGCAATTGATTTGTTTCATTGTAAAGTAATGTCTAAATGAATTTAATAAATGCTTCCAAATGACTAGATCTTCATTTAAAAGCCAATTGGGCGATAGTAGTTGAACTATTGGTGTCTTTCAAATCTGCCAACTATGCAGTTCTTTTTGATTGTTTATTCTTCGTAAATGCTTAAACATTCAAGAAGTGAAAAAGAGAAGTTAGTCTGAAAAATCCAACGCTTGATCTTTGAATTTCTACTCCATGGCTAGCAAGGACTGTGGGCTAACACGGTCTAACAGAAAATTATTGATATGTGTGAATTTAACGACGTTTGCCGTGTTCTATAAGTTCTAATGACGAAGCTTGGGATTCGGCAATTCAATAGATATTCATGGAATAACTTTGGTTCAACTAGTTGGCGGCTGGAAGGCGGCTTTGGGACCCAATTAAGGCCGCTCGCGCCGCGACGTACTCTGCGCGTCTCTGCGCGTGTGTGCTCTCTGATCATTATCTAACTTTGATTAGGTCATGAAGCCCCGCCTTCCAGCCGCCAAGCCAGTTGGATCAAAGGGTATGTTTGTTCAAAGACTGTAGTCCTCTTCAGCATCGGAAAAATTCCATATGTTCGTCATTTTTTCAGAAAATAAAGAGTAATGTGTAAGTTGCAAGGCAACTTCTCGTACTCATTCGTTTCAAAGGTTACATATCCTTTAAGCATAGAAAGCCATAAATATCTAAAGTACTCTAGTCACTTTGTATGTACTGAAGACTGTGTATCCTCCTAACTCAGCGCCGCGCCTGTGATTCGTCCGCACGCCGACTGTCATTGGCCAGGCTTGGCAAAGCGAAGCAAAGGAGAGAGCCGGATTGGTGCACGCAAGCATGGTCACATGCTTGCGTGCACCAATCCGGCTTACAATTTACACATCTATCATCTTATTACTTGCTAGAATACAGGATGAGACGACGTGACTAGGTGACGTAACTCGTCCGCTTTTTTAGCAGCTCCGCACGCGACAAAACGAGAATCGCGCGCGAACGGAGGGCAATTTACCACTAGAAGCATTAGAAGCATCTGCAACGTTGGCTCAGCGGTGTTTGAAAATTCTATCATCAAACGCTTCACTAAAAACAGCTCAGATCATTAATATACTTGTGAACATTCAAAATCTCCAATTCCGCAAGAGACCGTAGGCTATGAAGCTCACCCATCTTTTGCTGATTCCAGTTGTTTTTTCCCAAAATCTTTTTGCTTTTGTTTTCGCTGAAGAGAGTTACGGAATGTCAGCTTTACTATAAAAAGATATGAACACATGTAAAGGCAGCGTGCAGATTCACGAGATGAAACAGGTGAATCCAAATCTACGATGAGAACTGACAAATCAAAATAATGATAAAATACAGTCCCGTACAAATAAAAGCCAAGTATACACACTGTACTCAACTGCTATTTTACTTGCAGTAAAAAAATTTTGTAAAAGATATTGCAACTATAGTGAATGAAGAACAGAATTATAGAGGACGAATGAATGAAGTGAATTAGAATTTCCAGAGCTATGTATGTATTCCAAAAGTGAGACCAGCAAGCAATAACTATACGAGAGTGTGAGCAGAGTTACAAAAAATGTATTCATGATTCAACACCCGAAAGCAGACATAAGATTCCATATCCTAGAGGCGATATCTTGGCTTATCTCCATGACCATAGTTTCAAAACCATGATAAATCTCTTCAAAATGAAAAAAAAACGGAATTCGAGTGCATATCCATTTAACAGATATACCGGGAGAGCACAACGGGACAACATGGACAAATTTTATGAATTTTTTGATAACCATTCAAATCGCTTTCTGGGATATAAAATCAAACATGGATGAGCACGAAACTTCAATAATAGTTTAGTTATCCAAAAAAAGGATAACTGTACTGTTGTCCAAAAGGAAAACGATCAAATTCATGCGTAATACCCAGCATAGCGAATTTCGCGCGACGCTCGGCAAAGGATACAAGAGAAAATGAGGGAACAAATTTCGACAGCAAGTAGAATGAATCCAATCACGATGATGACTTCTCCAGACGATTCTACCATGTGCGAGATACGCTCGAAGCAGTCGGGCTAAAAATAAGGTTAAATTTATGCTATGGATGCAAAAATGTATCGTGTTATGTAATTTGTGAGTATGCAAAGCATGCGCGCCATCTGACATCAATCTTACTTATAACTCCTCAGTAAAACTTATACTAGCGTAACAAACCAAGAAATGCATTTTATCAATACAATATATCAATACAGCTAATCTAATGAAAAGAGGCAAGGAAACAAGGTGATATCACTGGAAATGAGCAGGTTCTAATCTTACAAGTCGTCAAGTAGCGCGCATAGTGTGCAATACACATATTAAGTTCCAAATGACTCGACGATAAATAAGATACTGAGAACATTATCATTCACTTTGTTTGGTCAAATGCTTCGCCTGGGTTAAGGTGGATCAAAATGGGACCATCAAAGTTCTTAACCCCAAAACCGGATAGCGAAAAATAAAAATGTATTGAGACTCTCTCGTCTCTTCTACAATTCTTAACGTTCTGACTTTTCAGTCTCTTTTGATACTCCTCCGAAGAAACCATTGTCATTATTTCACGCTAATTACCTAACAATAGAAAGGAAAGGTGATCTCATTCTCTTATTAACCTATTGACTTTGATCTTAGGTATTGAAAAGCTAAGAAAAAAAGAAGTTTTTGAGCTGAACGTACTTGAAGAACTAAACAAATGGCGTTTTTTTGCCGAATCGCTTTTGCGAACATTCCTGAGATAAGGTCTGCTCCCACTTATACACATCATGTTCATACAAGTTAGCAGTAATTGTTTACATACTCAGTTCATAATTTGATCTACTTATTTGTCTTTGTACCATTTTTATATGTGAAATTATATTTACTCATAGTCACATATGAACAAGCTTGTGTTTACATAGGTAAAAAGTTTGCGGCTTGAGCAGTCAAGATTACCGATGTTGTGCAAACATCGTAATCATAAAGTTTTAGGAAGGCTTTTCATCTTCCATTGTAAAAACTTTTCATCTTCCATTGTAAAAACAATCGCATAGAAATATTTTGCTGGTAAACAAATCCGAGTCGCTCTTGTTGTGTAAATAAGTATGCTGTGCAGACAACTTCCTTATTTGAGAATCTCATGAAGAATTCCCTTTTTTGGAGGTGAGCGATGATGAAATTCTACAAGGGTTTCCCAGGGTATACCAACTTCATCTTTCCGTATAGTCATCAGAATCACCTCTAGTCTTCATAGTGGAACAAAATCTATCATGACCCCCTCCGGGAAAAGGCGCTACTGCAAATATACCCATGGGTACGATCAATTCGACAAGGCGATAAATCGAGACGAATAACCCTCTACGCAATCCCACAAACTGCCGATTTCTTCTTCTTTTGAAATGAAAAATCGAATGAAGCATCTTACATAACGAATTATTTGTACCTCAATGTGTGAATCTACGCGCTAAGCCCTTAACCCACGACAGTAATCCGCTGGTAAACCCGTGCCAGGGTATAAATTGTTAAAATGTACATTGATTTCTACTTCCTATCTGACTAAGCCAAAAAAAAGAAGGAAAAAGAAAAATTTCTAAGAGTTTGATACCTCACGAGCATTTTGGTCGTCAAGTAGCGCAAGGTGTGTATTACGCATGTTATTTTACTAATAACATAAGGGATATCCCTTACTTCCAAAAAGAAATCCCGGAAGTTTAGCATTGATCAATAAAAGAGATCATATGGAAGTTTTGAAAAATTAGGCTGCAAGCTATCTTTATGTGAAGATGGTTTTTTCAATAACCTACGGCCGCTTTATTTCAAGTTCAAGTGAAAGTAAAATAATGATGGAAAGTAAATGTTTCTACATACACATTTTCTGCAAAGGCTCTCAGAAGCGATTACTCCAGCCATTTTTGACATGATGAGCGATTTTCATTCAATAGAAAGAAAACTCACCAAATCGTACTGCTGTGGAGTACAGATTCTATCGTCGATAAACCTTTGTTTGGTTGAGGCTGTAGCACCACAGCAGTTGAAGAGGTCCTGGATCGGTTTCAAATTCCTGCGAAGTTCCGGTGTGCTTGCCGAATTTTCCATAACCTGAAGTTCAACATCAGAAGAGCTCAAACGGAGGTGAATTCATACCTTTTGCACTGCGTCAACAAATTTATCCCTGTTTGACATGGCAAAAATGGTTGCGCCCAGTTCGATAGCAGTTAGAATTAGAACGATGAAGAAGAACTGCAAGATTTTAAGGAAACTTTTTGCAGAAGTTAAAAATAAATTCTTCACTTACCAGTCCCAGAAGAATTGGACTTTCACAAGCCGCGCCACAACATCCAAGGAATCCGACGAAGAACAGCAGAGCTCCAACAGCTACTAGGATCCAAAGGGATGCTTGATACTAAATCATTTTAATTTATTTTGTTTCATTATAAATACTCTCAAGGTGCACCAGAAAAAAAGTAAAAAATTAACTTGATACTAATATATTTTAACATTAACTAAATTACTATTTTTCAAAAAACAACATGCAGCACATCCGAAAAAAATGAACAGTTTACTTGCAAATGAAAGTTTCTCATTCGTACAGAGACAGGAATTAGACTAACGGACAATAAGGAATTCCGAAGTACGAAGAACATAGCTTTATCAATTCTGCTCAGGACCAGCACACTTATAGCTATTACTATCCTTAGCTTTGATATTACATTACCTCCATTCTACCAATAGCTTACCTTAGAAATTTCGTCAATATGTGTATGGTCCGCGCCATCCACTTTACGCACAAAATCGGCTAGATGTGCGCCGAAGTTCTTGTCCAGATTTGCCCATAGGGAGAAGCCGAAGATTAGAGCGCCAAGAATACAGATGAGAAGATTTATAACGAAGAATAGAAATTTAACACAAGAGTTTGCACAACCATACACCATAGTTCTGTAATACTCAGTGTAAAGGGGATTTTTAGACAGTAAAACGAGGTGCGGAAACGGAATCTATGAAAGGATATTATTTCAAAATCGATTAGTATTTGCCAGCAGGACTCGGCACGAGCTGGTACCATGGAAATTTTAAAACGAAGTCCCCACTGATCTTGGGAATCGTACGAAGTCCTCTTTGACCCTAAACTCTATCGTAAACAGTCTAAAAAAACGAGACGTCGACTAAAAAACGCGCAACTTTTGTGTCTTTTCCGCCATAAAAACGATATCCCCTTTGGTTTTTGTTGTTTTTGTCCCAAAAACGATATCCAGCTTGACCCGGTGCCACGGCTGGACCGCGCCCTGTTTGCCAGGTATCTGACTCAGCAGATGAATCGGATCAGACACAGGTTTCTTAATCAGGCATTCAGGCTATAAACGATCAAGCAAAGATCAGTCAAACAACAAAAAAACAAAAGAAATTGGTATACTTTCAAAAACTTTAGTAAAACATGACCAAGTTTTGCTTTCCAACCAAGTAATGCAAATCTTTCATAAGACAGATCGATTCTGCAAATCTCGATAGGATTAGCAAACTTTTTAACATCTGTTGGTAAATCTGTACACTATGCCATAAATAGAAAAAGAACAGGTTTGGAAGCGCTGCACTTAAGCTATTTATAGTTACTTGTAAGGACTCAAGGTTTCTTATGAGACTTACAAGCTTAGCTATAAATAGTATATAGATGATCGAAACAGCATTCTATGTACAAGCACATCTTTCTTGAAATGAAGTGCTGGGTTCGAAGAAAGGTTGTGTGTTCCTCAATGATAGCTTCTCTTATTTTCAGTAGTTTACTAATTGTGATTACGATTCGGGAGTAGAAATAAGCCAAATTCGTTGAGCAAACTATTGCATGATATGACTCACTGCACTAAAAATCTTAGCAAAATAGTCAGGTGTATTCCACTTTGTCGGAAAAAAATTTTCTGAGGATTAAAATATTGCAAGAAGCCATGAAGACCAGCAACTTTCTCAAACTTTTGTGTGATCATTTATGGAAAACAGGTTGCAAAGAGAGCACCTGACTTTTCCCAAGACATGAGCTTCAAAAACAAGCATTAAGAATGGATGATTGTGCTCGGGAAATAACCGGCAAATTTTCGTGCCAGATAACATAGAAGCTTGAGAGTTAAAATTGCATTGCTCATGTGTAAACAAGTCTTTCTTCTGTTTGCCCATATTATTCTGGCGAACGAAACAAAGCATGAGTTTCCGCGAAGCAAAGAAGCAGATGACTAGCGATAACAAAGACCAAATAAACATCATTTGCAAAACTTGAGAGAAGAGATTGATGACCAAATGTTCAGAGCTGTTACCATATTTTCCATGACCTGCATGATAATGACTGGAATCAAGGATGAGATTGTGTATCTGATGATTGAACCAATAGATATACTTTAGTAGAGTTTTAGACTAAGGAAATGACGAGCGAACTGAAAGGTATAAATAATAGTAAGTACTTTGATGGTGTGCTTGGTATCTTTTGTAGCATTTTCTTGTAAAATTCAGATAAAGAGATAAAATAACAAGTTAAACAAGGCCTTAGTCTGCCCCTGACGTATTAATTTTGAAATGGGATGGTAATAAATTTACAATTGCCTAAGGCAAATATGGGAGCCACAATGGTGGGAAACTTGCAAAAGTGCACAATTAGTCGTAGGATGCCCGTCTGGCGTATACAAGGAAGCATATGATTCACTTTTACAAATTTGAAGCTCAAAATGTCTGTAGCTCTGATTACATAAATTTATTCTTTTCATATTTGCAAAAGTGTGAATTCAGCTTACAAACTGACTTGCTAAAACAATTCTTAAATTTGCATAAACTATACCCAAACTATACTCAACACTTCTGTCTTCATTCTTCCCGCGAGTGGTCGGCTAGTTTTTGGCTCTGACCTATTCCAACGATCAAGGATAGAAGAGAAGGAATATCCGGTGGAAGAAACCGTGGCTGGTCCACCGGCGATCCTTGCACGGAAGTCAAAGACGGATCCACGAACCCAGACCGAACTCCCGACCTTTGGAGCTTGCAGCTGGCAAAAAGAAATCATGGATCTTCGTCAGTGGAGCGATATCTTGAAGTACGTCTACATCCACAACTAACGAAGCCTTACTCGAAATCATCACGGTTTTTATTATAGACCGTTGAGTATGAATAAATATATATATATATATATATATATATATACCCAAAAAACCAAACAAATCTTTTTCTATTGCCCACAACTCTCTTTCAAATCTAAGGATTTGGAAAAAAAAAGAAGTGCAACAAAATTAGAGACCTGAAAGAAAGGAACACAGAGGACGAGGGCATCTAAACTTCAATTTTTTCTCTACGATGAAGCATTTAGCAAAACAAATTGGTTCAATTCAGTTTATCCAACTGTAAGTGCGACAGCAAATCTCACTGACAGCTCCGTGAAATACAAGAATTCTCATAGCGATTCAATCATTTCATTGAAAAATAGGCGTGAGAACACTGAATATTTTTCAAGGCTCGTCCATCATATAACAAGGCAGGCATGAGAACGATTGAAAAATTGAATGGAATGAAAACTACGAGCTCTTGCAGGGCAAACGCAAGTTGTTTACCACTCAAAATAGGCAAATATGGGGAAAGGGGGGGGAAGGCTGCTATCTAATCAGTACACGCCGCAAACTCATTGTCGAGTTTCTTTCTAACATGAGACAGGGTAAGAGAGATGGTCCAAAACAATTTTATCAATGGTCCATTGATTAGAGCAAATGTACACATAGCGACATTGTTCGATGATTGAGAAGAAGAATATGGTGCAGATAAGCTGGCCAAAACAGTTGAACTGGGCCTTAAAAAAACATTTCACTCTGTTGCGCATGAAACAAAGCAAATTTCTATTTTCATTTTTGTTTTCGTTTATACGCTCAAGAAGCTTCATCCAAAAAACACAGCTAAAGATGCTGGATCAATAGTGAAGATGAAGAGTGATGAACAAAATCAAAAAATAGCTTATCATATAAATTCAAGTCAAAAACCGATCGTACTATATTATTTATATTACTGTTGACCACACTGATTTACTGCGCTTCCATATAACTGCTTGATCGAAACTTTTATACAGCAAAATTCAGATTGAGATGCAACTTCTTCGTGAGCAAAATGAAGCTCCGTACTAATTCCCAGATTGAAAGCCGATTAATCGCTTAAATTCAGATTTAGATTTTGTCTTGGAACTACATGCGAAGCAAACTTTGCGTTCGAAAAGAATCTGTCAATATAGAAACTTGTGGGACAGCTAAATATATCTGCAAAAATTCTTGGAACGTGTAAAACACGTACTATGTGCAGAAACACAACCGGAAATGATTTTGGAAACGAACTAGATTCTTTGTCCCATGAACAATAACAAGAGCAAGAGTTTTACGGAAAACATTAGAAAAAAAGGATTTGTGGAGAAAGCGTAGTTATCTGGCAACAACTGTAAACCAGAACCATTGGAAAGCGCTAGCAAATCGCTATGCAATATTGAAGGAAAAAGTAGTAAATAGCTAGGCAATTTTATTTTTATTTTCAAATGTTATAGCACTTGCAGAAGAGAAAGAAGGTAGCGATTACGCAACAATGTGATCTGTCATGTCTGACGTTGACTGACAGTAATGTTGCGAAATTGCTGGGATTGGGTTCCGTCTAGAATGTTCAAAAAATTTATTTATTTATTCATTGGCGTGCTGGGCTTACTTGCGAGAAAAAGTTAACTATGAAGTAAAACTATCTTAGCAGATGTCCAGCGACGAAAAAGAAATCAAAATAATCCTTTATGGGGGTGGACAGCTTCTGCTTAATTGTGATTTCTGATAATGAACTATGATGAAATTAGGAGGAAATGAAATTTTGTAGCAGAAGTGCATCGCATTATCAAGCAATCGATTGGAAACTTGAAAAACGGTACAATATCACATGGTACGACATATGAATAAGCGGTTTGTTTGAACAAATCCCAAACGGATTAAGGGGTTTGAAACAGTGTAGGAAAAACTATGCGCTATAAAAAGTCCGGACATACTCGGGCGGCGTGGCGTTATGGAGCAAAGCTACGCCGCATTCGCCTGCGGTATATCCTGAGGACCCGTTGTGTTGCGTCGCTCCTAATTGCAGTTGCAGAGGAACTAGCGCTACCCAGTGATTGAACCATTCTCCTTATTCTCCATAGATAAAAAGATCAAAATGTGGATGATAAACGCATTTCAAGATTTCTTCCTCATACAGAATATGAGGAAGAAGTGTCTGCAAAGCAAGACAAGAAAAAGTAAAAGATAAGGAAGTTAATTTCTCTTGGAAATTCGTTGACGTAAAATTTCTTTTCTTTTTCTCTGTTAATACTCGTGTTCCACTTCTCTTGAACTCTCTTAACCCAAATCCAGCGTTGGATCATCCCATAGTCAGCCTTTGATTTATCCCCCTAAGATTCATCTATTTATTTGAATATATCAGGATGTAGTAATAGGGAATGGCTTGACCCGCTGTCAGGGGCAGCGCTACTCCTGCGACTGCAATTAAAGGCGACGCAATGCAAATGCCCCTCAGGATATACCGCAGGGGAATGCGGCGTAGCTTTGCTCCATAACGCCTGCCCCCCACATACTCGCTTGCAACCGAATTTTCACATACTGAATGTAAAAATAAGATGCAGCCGGTGGTAAAGAGTGCCCGCCCGAAATTTTTTTTTTATTTCTGTTTGTCATCGCTGTTGTAGCAGTATGACTAATGAATAGAAGAGAAAACATTTGTGATGATATATAATTAGTGTGTAATGTGTACGTATGAACAAGTATTTATATATACCAAACAAGCTTTTGCTAGGTCATCGGTGGCTCTCACATCACGCAAAAGAAGAAACGAAAGCGCAGTTTCGCACCAACACACGGTTGCAGAGAAACGGGGGGGGGGGGGGCTGAATTTCAATAAAGGGCCCCTAGTGCACCTATTG